TTTGGTCACTACACCTATCCCAGCTCCTAGAATACTGTCTTGCTTAGATTGGTACCCAGAATGTAAGCATTGAACCAATGATTCATTGAATGAATACATTAACAAGTATTAATTCATTTATTCTCAGTTAGTATCAATTACAACTAATGGCAAAAAATCATTGATGGAGGAAGGTCATTGGTTAAATAAAAAGAAACTGCTTGGCTCTCATTGGTTAGAAGATAGGTGGGAGGAGTAAACAGAACAGAACGCTGGGAGGAAGAGGAAGTGAGCTCAGACTCCACAGCTCTCCTCTCGGGAGCAGACGCCTCAGAGAGATGCCATGCTCCGCTCTCCCGGGCAGACGCACACGATGAAGCAAGCCGCCAGATTAGACATGCTGAACCTTTCCCGGTAAGACCGGTGCTCACAGATTATTAGAGATGGGTTGATCGGGATGTGAGAATTAGCCTGCAAGGGCTAGAGCTAAAGGGCCAAGCAGTGTTTAAATGAATACAGTTTGTGTGTTGTTATTTCGGAGCATAAGCTAGCCAGGCTGCCTGAGTGCTGGGGATGCAGCCCCGCCGCTCATATTACTACAACTCATAATCACATAGACATAACAGAAACAAGAAAATTCAAACTGCTATCCTTTACCTCCTTAAAATTGGGCCACGAATTGAGGCAACTACTTAAACTAGAAGAATATCAAATGTCAAAGTATATTTTGTGTTTGCACTGTTAGTTTTCTAGAAAAGCTAGAGAACCTTTTCATTTAGAAACTGAATAAATTAAATATAGGACTTTCTAAGGAAAGTAAAGGAATGGTAAGGAATGGGTCAAAAGAGGATAATGGTAGGGGAGAGCAAAAATGTATTCTATATATGTGTGAAAATGTTATAATGGAACCAATCATGTATAAGTAATATACTCTAATAAAAATTAAAGTAAAAATTTGAAGTAAAAGTACCAAGTAATGAGACTTGATACTTTTGTGGAAAATTGTTCTCAGTGAATGAGAGGGGTATTGAGTGTTATCCTTAGTTCAATAAGGAAGATACTTTGCCTCTTATTTCTAAATGGTAATAAAAGCCATTCAATGCTCTACCCAAGCATCTAGCCTTCATTCATGGAGTATCAGGCAGAATTTCTAAAGTGTATCCCCTTCTCATCTCCTCCTTCCATTGACCAATGAGATTCAGAGAGGAGTCAAGTAAGCTACTTACTTTTATACCTTGCATTATATGTATAGGAGGAATTCCCTTACTCATTCATCTTTATAAACATTTATGAACAGTGCTGCCAGCTAAGCTTTGATCCTGTGATTATGGACTGGAAGAAGATGATAGCCACCAGAGGCCACCACCAACATATTGCACAGAGTCTTGGAAACTCATAAGAGAAAGTGAGAGTAATAGTATCAGAGAGAAGGTTAAGAAAATAGTGGTGAACAGAATGGAAACCAGATTTAAGATTGCATATTTGAAAAGATAGCTACAAAGATGACAGTGAAAAAAATATGTTCTCACTGCAAAACACTAGAAAGAAGACATTAGATATACCAAGATTAGGATTTGTCTGGGAATAAAAATAAAGAAACTGCCTTGTCCCTTTAATAAGACAGAAAATTAGGTAGGCGGAGTAGACAGACAGAATGCTGGGAGAAAGAAGCCGAGTCAGTCAGTCGCCATGATTCTCCTCTCCGAGATGGATGCCCGTTAGACTCGTCCCGGTAAGCCACACTCAAGTGGCAATACGGATATTAAAAATGGGTTAGATCAATATGTAAGAGCTAGTCAATAAGAGGTTATAACTAATGGGCCAGGCAGTATTTAAATGAATACAATTTGTATGGTGTTATTTCGGGGCATAAGCTAGCCAGACGGCTGGGCAGCAGGAACGTAACCTGCCGCTCCTACTACAGAATAAACTCTATAAAAATAAATCCTTCACTTTATATAGTGATTCTGTAGCCAGAGACAAGTACCTTCCTATGTTGCTAGGTATGAAATTCAGAGACCTGAAAAGAGGGCAGAGTATGGTACTGAAATAATTAACTTCAAGAATGAACCACTTTTTTTAACACCTCAAAACATCTTCTGGGATTTGCTTGAAACTTCATAAGAGAATCAATGGTCAACCACACACTTGAAATCTCAGAAGTTCTTTATTATCAAATTCCAGATGAAAGTAACACTCACACACTACTATGTTGCTTTTCTGTTCTGCTTCTCTAGTCCCTTATTCTACAAAATGGGTTTAAAATATTTAAATTGTAGTTCTAAGAATTGAGCTAATATGGAGAACAAGCATTTAGTATCACAAAGGAAAAGGGTAAATTGTACTGAAGGCAAAAGTCAGGGAGGGGATACTGGTAATAAAGACAATGTGGTATACAGATACAGTGTAATGCTAACCATGAAAAGGTTGCAAATCCCATCATGTGTGTCAACATGGCTAGAACTAGAAATTGCTAGATTAACTGAAGTAAGTCAGGCCCAGGAAGAAATGTAACAAATTATCTCACTCACATGTGGAAAGCAAAAAGTTTATCTCATAGAAGTTGTGAGGAGAACTCACAGTAAAGGGGAAAATTTGGGGTAACTGCATGAATTCCATTTATACAGGATCAATAACTTGTGCTCTACTATTATTTTACAGTTATTTTACTATAATCAACAAGGTATTGAACATTTAAAAATAACTTAAAGAGAGGACTTTAAATGCTCTTGCCACAAACAAATGATGAATGTTTGAGGAGACAGAATACTTTAAATTAATATAAACATTGCAAAATTTATATAAGCGTTAACAGGCAACTGTTATGCACTATTTTATACTTTTTGATCAATTAAAATAAATTTAAATTAATAAACTAAATTTTAGACATTATACTCAGGCAGAGCTTAGAAGTCCTTTTGTTCTTGATTTATTGATCCATTTGGCGAGGGGAGGGAGGAGTATTACTTCCCAAGGACTAAGTGGCTGGAGGTGTGAAAGTCCTAAGGAAAGGGGAAGGAGTGAGCTAGCAGAAGATAAGAAGATGAGGTAGAAGGAATTACTGTACAGGGAGCCTGCTAAGCTTGATTTTACTCCAGCTGCTCAGTCTGGGGTAGGTGGACTCCCCCATTCCCTCCTATAAAACTGAAGTAAAGTTTTTGTTATTTTGGGGGGCACATGTCTGGTCTGCACCCATCATGCATGCATCTTATAGAAGTGTCTATGATCAAGGCTGAATCATCGTAGAAAAGCATAGTAATCAAGAAAATGGTCTCTCAAGTCATAGTGCCTTGAACACAGAGCGCTGTAAATTTAGCAGTGTTACATCTATCCAAGCTCCTGTTTCCTCATTAATAAATAAAATTCTCACCACACAAAAGTTATACTGAGATTTAGATGAGATAAGATAGAGAACAAGCTAATTACAGGGAATGGCATATAAGAATTACTTAAGATATACAAAGGAGGTTGATGATAGCATGAAAGGTCCCATTAAATTATTTATAGTCTGCCTGAAGGAATAAATGTTATTTGTAATAACTGTCTTTGCTAAGAAAAAAGAAAGAATGAAAGTCATAGTTGAGTACATACTCTTAGTATGTGCTGGTGAGTTCTTCCAGGTGTAAAAACAAAAAAATGTTTCCAAAGGTAAAATGTCCTAGCAGCTTTAAATATTCAGGTATAGGGATCCACAGGAAGAGTAGGATCACACAATCCGGCAGAAACCACCAAATTCAACTCTTGTAATTTGGTCTAATAATGTGCACATCACCTATGAAAAAATGTACTTGATCACTTGTAACTATCATATAAAAATCTGTATAGAGTAGCGACTTCTGTGGTCAAGAAAATGTTTGCATCTGGGCAGTGGTGGTGTACACCTTTCATTCCAGCATTTAGATGGCAGAGGCAGGCAGATCACTGTGAGTTCAAGGGCAGCCTGGTCTACAGAACTATTTCCAGGACAGCTATGACTATACAGAGACACACTGTCTCTAAAATCCCCCCCCCCAAAAGAAAGACAGAAGATGAAAGAAAGTAAGAAAGGAAAAGACAAGGAATGAAGAAAGGAAGGATGAAAGAAAAAAGAAAGAAAGGAAGGAAAAGAAAATGTTTCAGGGCTATAAGTATCATCCAGGATTTTAGCAAGAATTCAATGACAGAACTGTGTAATTATTCTCTGCTTCCCTAGTATGCCTGCCCTTTGTGCTATAGTCTAGGCCCAGTGCACCTGAAGGCCTGATTCTACCTATTGCTTTTGTCCTGTGTTCTAATGGAAGTAGGAGTCAACTAACTTCAGAAATGCAGGCAGGTGTTAAGAGGGGCTATGTTACTTATTCTAGCCTCCTTTTTTCTTGTCTATCATCTTCATATGTTCTTCTCTAGCTATTAATCTTGGAAGAACACCTTCATTCTTGCTGGGTTCCAGTGACAGCTCCTCAGGAGTAACAATCAACAGCTTCCTCTCCTGTTGATTCCCTCAATATTGCCTCTACCTCAGTAAATACACTCCACATACAATGTCCTTCCATTGAACCTCTGAACATAGCTTATGCCTGGTTAATCCTCCTCTGGTGTTCACATGAATAGAACAAAAGCCCACTTGTCACTTCTGCCTCCACTGCAGTAGCTCACACTGTTCATCATGGTAACAATGGTTATCCTTCATAGGTGTTATTACTACTTTTCTTCTTCATGGTACACAAGATACCTATAACAATAAACTAATTTGTTGTACATTTTATCTAAATATTTACCCTTCTTCTTTGCTGAGGTGGTAATTTTATTTCTTAACAGTTGGGGAAATTGGGATAGCTTCTGACATTTGCTGATGGAAATCCACAAAAATCAGTGGCATATAGGAGTCACACCTCTAAGTTTTTTTTTTTTTTTTGCTGTAAATCTGTTGATTCTTCTCAGCAAGCTGTTTAATACCAGAAACTGGTAATAAAATGCCCATTCCCAAGGCTGCTATTAATTAAGTCTTTTAAAAATGTTTATTTGACACCATGCTGAATTACCTTGTACCATACAACATCAGGTTCCTGGTCGGACTTCTTAAAATCTTCCATATCTGGGCAGGAGATCTCCTTTCTTTTAGTAACTTCAGATTTCTCTAAGTAGCGGATCCTGCTATTGTAACAGAGGCCTGATTCATTCTCGGCAACAGTCAAGGACATTGACACCTTCATGCAGTATGTGGAGTTTCTGTAGGAAGAGAAAAATAAGAAAATGACTTTACTGGCTGTTTACAACTTCTGTACTCTATACATTTCAAGAGTATTGACTTTTCCATTTAGGGCATTGCCTAAAAATGAGAAACATCATCAAAACAATACACAGCAACTTTCTTCTTCAACCAACAGAATGGTGTGGAGCAAAAACGGTATGGAGAATATTCCTGATTATGAGATAGATACAGAGCTGTGAAGGTAAGATGTAGCAATCTAGGAATCTGTAACATTGTCAGACTTCTCTCCTAGCAATCAATATTGCTCCCTTGAAACTTTGAAAAGAAATCTGTGGGAATTTTGCCAGAACTGTGGTTATAGCCATTTCTACACTTCAGCTATGTTTGACAGTTCTCTGGGAGATTGTTGAACTTAACAGTGCTTTCTACCGGTAACATTTCATTCTCTAAGATACATATAGGAATCAAGATTGACACACAAAGGATACCTATTAACATATGTAGAATTTCTTTTGCTTCCATTTTTATTATCATAAAAAAAGATTGTGGTGAATATACTTCTATACACAACATCATACCTTCTGTCCCAAGGGTAGAATCACTAAATTAACGGAAATATGTATTTCTAGTTGAGTTTGAGATCATCATTACTTATCACAATATGAATTGTTTTTCATGCCCAAGAGTCAATTAGTGGTGACCACAGTTCTCTGAAGTAACAATATGGACTCCTACATTTGGAGGTCTCAGGAGAAAGAAAGACCCCTTACTTCTTTGAATAGTTGACTATAACTGTTACCTTGACAGGATCTACAATCACCTAGGAGAACTAACCCCTGAACATAATTCCATGAATTGGTGCTTCCCATGTTCAGGGGAAGTCTTCCTACAAGAAATTCATCCTAAAAACATACATAGTTGTATAAAGTGTTTGTTGAAATATGCTAATGGTAGGACATCCTACCCCTAGACAAAGCTCTATAGTCAATTAATAGTCATTAGACTATTAAACTAATTAGACTAAGAAAGGGAGAAATAGCTTTTCCTAGGGATGAATGCCTAATAAGTTACCCAATACAAAAGAATCCAGCCCTGAAACCATATGCACACGAACAACAAAAGTAGATCCAGAAGATTGGATTTATATATTTGTGCATCTATATGGATATAATGATAATAATCAAAGAAAAAGAAACTATCAGTTTGAGAGGGAGGGAGGAAATAGGAGGAACTGTAGGAAAGAGACATAGGGGGCTAGAATGAGGAACGGGAAAGGGGAGAGTGATAAAACTACATTTTAATTTCAGGTATATTTACAATCAATTACAATAAAAAGAAAATAAATAATTAATAATATTTAAAATAAATAAACAAAAAGAAAGCATCTTATCTAGTAGAGTGTGTCTAAATGGAGTTAATCCTGCCCACCAGCACTATGACATTAGAGGGATTTAAACACTGAAATTTGTCATCTGGCCACTTTACAAATCACGTGAATTGATGAAGTTATTATGTGAGGATATCTAGGGTTGAAAGTTTTGCTTTCCTGAAAGTTGGGTATAGGGACCGCATAATTGAACAAACAAGGGTAAGTCCTGGCATCAACCTGACATCTCCACATTTACATATGCTTCCTGCATACCCACATAAACACACATACACACGCAAAAATGTTTATGTGCCCACACTCACACCGCATACACAGATACATACATAAATGAGAATAGAAACACAAAGGTAAAAATCTATTTGACTAATTTGGTTAATTTCAAACAAATGAATAAATATTTTATCTTTGCCTATTTGTATACATGATGCTTCACTATGCAGACCAGAAAATGTCAATCACACAGACGTAAATGGCAATGTATAAGAGAAGAGATCAGAAGCAACTTGACAAGGCTGAGAAGGGCAACTGCAAATTGTGGCAGAAGTGTTTAGTCTTTCTTTCTGGAGGATATTTCAGGACCACATCTAAAGTAACATTCACTCACTGCTAGAAATAAAAAGTGTCAAGTGTAGCTCTTCAAAGTGAAGTAATTGTATAATTCTATATCAGATAGAATTAACGTGCCAACCACAATTTTGAAGAGGGCCTCAAATGGCTGGTGCTATGCCTACTGTTTAGTGGTCATTCATTGAAATTTTACAACATCCCAAACAAACAAAACACAAGAAAGCAGATGGCTGTACACATTAGGTTTACAAATAAATGTGATCAAACATTTATATTTATAGCAGACAGAAACCATTAAGTCAAAATGGGGAGCTCAGCTGACTGGGGAGTACTCAACTCCAAGTGATATACCAACAACATAACCCCTAAATCTAAGGTCCAGGGAACATTTTTGAAGAAGGAGCAGGAAGATTGTAAGGGCCAGAGGACAAGGATGTCTGCTAGGAGACCAAGTCTTCCTTATTTGACAGGAAAGTTATACCCACAAAATCTCAAAAATATGCTCACCGAAATGAGACACCAAGTGATATATTAACTTGGGTGTGGGAAACCTCTCAAGTCCCTGTCTATAGGAAATTAATGGCTGCCAAGAGAAAGAGATTTAGTTTTTCCCTGGGATGAGCTCCCATGTGGATTATCAAATCCCAGGTGGTCAGTCCTAAAAATGGTGCGTACAACCAACAGTAAATACAATCAGCAGGCATATGCATATGTATGTGTGGGGTGTGAGTGTGTGTGAAAGACAGACAGACAGACAAAGACAAAGAGGAAAATTAAAGAAGAGTTCATGAATATGAGAGGAAGTAGAAATGGGTGGTACATAGGTAGAGTTAAAAGATAACAAGGGCTAAGAATGATGTAAAAAATATTTTCCATATTAAATTCTCAAAAGATTTTCAATTAAAACTTAAAAGTTTGTTTACATTTTTAAAGTAGAAATGTAATAATGCATGCCCTTTCCAGACAATAGTGTCAAATAAAATATCTAAAATACCCAGCATATTATTTGTTAAATATTAGGTATTCAATATATTTTAACTACAAAACCAGAATTTTAGTATAGCTTACATTGCTATCTATATCACCAATAAATAATAACAATGATAGTATATAACTATCACAAGCAATCACTACTATATTTGCAGTGGGATGAGGTAGGCCACAAGGTCAGGACTGCTACTTGACAGGAAATCTTCGGAACGTGGTAATTTGGGGAACAAATCTAATACCAGAGGACCAGGAAAGTTTGAAAGGATCAAAAAGATACACTGAATTAGATACAAAAAGGAAAATGGATGAAAAACAAAAAACTTCCAGGTACCATAAAATACTAGCTACAAGACAAAGGTCATAACTTTGGAGGTCAAAGGGTTAATGATAGTCCACTAAATTTTCAGGGTGCTTCTTAGACAAATGTTTCCTCTAATAAAACCCAGACCTCCAGGCAAAGTTTTTCAGGCACAAGAGATGCTCTCATCTGTTCATTCTCCAAAGATTAAATGATTTAGGCCCTGCCAGCAGTACTTGTATTAACTCGGGGTGATTGTAAGGGCAGGGGACTCACCCTGAAGGAGGCTGATGAGTTGCAGGAGGAGAGGGTTCAATCCTCCCTAACCCTTAACACACAAAAAACCTTAGTCCAGGGCCCTGGATGGACTCCCTCTGGCTCTTGTCACTTGCATGCCAATTGAGGCTGACAAATTGCTTGTTAACCCATGAACAGGCCCTAAGATGAAGTTGTTGGTGATACCCAAGGTCACTCGAACTCAAAGACAAGGCTGAATTTGAGTGCTCTTGTCACCATGGCTGACCTAGTAGAAGTGTGATCAAGGCTCCCTGAATGTCTGAGATTCCAGTTGATTTTTATTAGTCATATAATCCAGCCCTGGCACAGTTACTGCTAACAATCTTGCATTATTTAGATTTTATTTTGAAAATTGCCCTCGGGCCAGTTCTATTTAAAAATTTTCCCGCAAGTGGGGCCTAAAAATGTTACTTTTCTTTCATTAGGAACAATTAGCGCTATGCAAGTTGAGGAGGCAGACTGACTAGTTTGCAAGAATAAGGATCACAAATTTTTTCTCTCCCCCCATTCACTTCCCAAGGGGGACAAAAAAACACATTCTGAATTAATGTAACGAAAGGGCCTTCACAGTGATGGCTTACACTTACTTGCATCTGTAATCTTTGCAGGTAGAGTTATTCTCAGTAACCATAAAGGAATTGTTCCAGGATGCTACAACACACCTCTAAAGCAAAACCTTTCAGATGTTCAAGCTTATTTTTAATATAAGATGACCTTACATTTGCCTGTACCCTATACACATTCTCTAGGATACTTTAAATCATTTCTAAATGACTTTTAACTAATGAAATGTGGATGCAATATAAATATGTAAATAATATCTATACTATATTATCTAGGGAATACTGACAAGAAGTCAGCACAAGTTCAGTACAAATGCAATTTATTTTTATGAATCTTCCAGTCATGGCTATTTGGATCCATGAATGAAGAACACATGAAACAGAATAGCTGACTGTATTTCCACATCTTTTATGACAGTTTATTCTACCGGTATGTGGGAAAATGAGAAGGCAAGGTAAGTATCATCTAAAAGGAATAAAATGCAAACAAGAAAAAGGTTTCAAAATATAGCTCTGTTAAGCATATCTATCTAGGACCAAGATCTCTTGATTACTACTCTCAGAAATTGTTGCTAACATTGCTTAACAGCCAAACTAATTTGTGGTTAGCCATGCCAACTTCGTAAGCTGAGAGAATAAGAAGTAGATTCTTGTAGATAATGTATTAAGAATAATTTGACTAACATGTGTTAATCTGTTGCAAGTTTTTGAATAAACATCACAGTTTTCTAAACAAAAGTGTAATTGCAGCTAGCTTAAATTGTATTTTTTGCTTGTTTTTTCTTTCAAAGGCAGTTCTAAGAAGGAATGTTGATTAAACTTAGTTTCTCTGGGGAAAAGGCAAGTCTTGAGCTATCATGAAAAAAACCAAAATACCAATTATAACTCACATTATAGAACTTGTTTATATTA